GAACAGGGCTGATTTTGAGAAATTGCGGGATTGTGTATGCAAGCATGTCTGTAATATTGACTTTCGTGGTCCAAAATTCGTGGCGCAACTATTTATCAAATGTATCCTCAACTTTACTATCGAATATAAATGTTACTCCCCCCCCCCCCTACACACACACCCTGGCGGGCGTGCTAGGCTACAGACTGAAGTGTCTATTTAGGCCATTCCCAAAGGGGGAGCATATATATTAATGTTCTTATATATTTAAGCATTTTCCAAAGGGGCGACATCAAGAGGTTCTAATGCTCAGTAGAATAGTAAACGGGCTGATTCATTAATGTCATGCTCATAAAAGCATGTGCCTGAACTGCACGGGGAACTGCAATTTTTTCTTTCCTAATCCTTACTATCGTCATTTTCCTATAGCCTACTTCTTTTGTATGTTTGTCACTCTCTCCTGACCCGCTATTTCCGGGGTGCTTTGATAGTCGAGGCAGACTTTGGTGCTGTTGAAGCTAGAGAGGTGAGGAGAAAGCATGATTCCCTGTATGGACTTCTCTGTTGACATACACCCCTAAGGGCTCATTTGACCTTACCTCATGCAGTTGCGAGCGCCGTAAAAACTCAACTAAAACACACCAAAAAAAAGAATAACTTTCAAAGTTTTACACAATTGTACCAATTTAACACTAGATTTATATTTTTTTTTGTAAACACAAGTTCACTTAATTATTTCTAGAAAAATCCTAAATAAATATAGATCTAGATCTACTTTTAGTACGGGGTTAGCCTACTAACAAAAATTCTCTGTTAATCTATAAATGATATATTTTTTCAATTACTTTGACGGTGAGTATACAATTGATTCTGGATTTGTTTTCATTCAAAACTTACAAGAATGGTTGAAAATATAGGCCTAATTAAAGTTCCTAACATGGGAAAGCTGTTCTTGAATATGACCTCATCTCTCAACTCTATCAGTTTCTTTTGCCTCACTTCCATTACCTTGTCAAACAAAGTAACATTCTTTCCTGTTTAATGGATTCCATTTTGCTAATGTTGTCCATAGTGTGGTTAAGAAAATCGTGGCACAAATTATTCCCAATCGCTTTAATTAACGGATGGGATATATGATGTAAGATTATCAGATCATATACTTTGCTCAGCCGCTTGTTTAACTTATTTTTCCACAATTTAATTTAGGCTTGATTAAAAACAAAAAATAATATATATACCACAACACAAATCCCTATCACGCTGAAAATGGGAACTTCTCACACAAGTGACAACCAGATTATGATGGAGACTATAATTAAGCAGACAGACTCTGGGATGGACCCTGAAAGGGGGGGGGGGAGAGTAGAGATGGACATGTTCCGACTTCAGTGACCCCAACACAGTGGACAAGTAAGATAAATGAGACAAGTGACAAATTAATTCTGCGCATCTATTTTAATAAAAATATATATTAATATATAATACGGGTACCCACTACGGGTGGATCGGGCCGATCGCCCGACTCGATCGCCTGAAACTGAAAACAAACACGTTTGTTTTTGAGGCGATCGAGTCGGGCAATCGGGCCGATTGGCCGGTCGAACCGCCGTAGTGGGCACCCCGCATAATACGCACTACGTGGCCTAAGTCGTCACCGCTCGGATCATCAGTGACATTTTTTAAAGGCAAAACTATAGCTCACGCATAAATGCAATCTCCTGATAAATGAAAAATGAAATTGTACAGAATTTCTGCCCCTACTTTATAATTAGTCTGATGAAGAGCAGCTTATAGTGAGAAGGAATCGTCGTAACGGGTTTGTGACAGGAGGGTGCCTCGGTAAGATGCACATTCTTAGTTAAAATGGCTTTAGAATAATTTTTATTTTATTTTGGTCAATGTATTACGGCACTTGCAACTGAATATATAAAGTTATGCAAGCGTGCGGGACACATTAGACATCATCATTAGGTAGGACATTTTGATTTTGACCCAGGTGTGGCTGAAAGACATCAGTAAGAAGGAGCCACAAGGAGTAGCAGTAGAAAGGCTGCAGAAAGAATCACAGGAGCACATATATGAGGGGGCAAAGAAGATGAGGGCGGTGGGAGCAGAAAGTTTTCATGTTTGAGAGCAGAAAAGGATGTGAAATGAGAAAAATATAGAGTATACATTTTTTCCTCGCTATCTGCATTCGAATCCGGGACCTAGATCTATATTGAATAAGAGGCGAACACCTTAACTTCTAGACCAAGCGAGAACATCAATCTATAATATCATACTATCGTCACGCTCATTTAAGATATTTATATATAACGAGTGCGGTCAAATTAAATTCGAGGCGCAACTTATTGTCAATATTCTCTAATCTAAACTATCAAACATAGACTGTGGCCCAGAGGTTAAAGTGTTCGCCTCTTATTCAATAGGTCCCTGGTTCGAATCCGGATAGCGACGGAACATTTTCTTCTCTAAAATTATTATGTTCGCATTGTCCTCTCACTGACTCAAAGATTTAAACTTTTTGTCATAGGAGATAACTCTGTAGGCTCTGACTAGATCCAGAGAGTGCTAGCCTACGTAAAGGCAGTAGATCTAGAATTCTGTGGTCTAGGCCTAGGCCTAATACCAAGCTGGCTCTGCTTTTCATTTCAGAACCAAAAACTCCAAACCGGCCAAAAATGACTTCGGCAATAATCTTATGAGCATGACGATATCCGAGGTGTAACTTACATTAACAGCTACACTACTAAAAATCGTCTACACAGAATAGAGGCTATGGTCAGTGAACGCATGTGGTCTGGGTTTTTTTTCTTTTTGACACGTACTTTGTATTTCTTAACATTTATTTAATTTTTTCTTATCAATTTGGCCGATTTTCTTCCGAACCAGCGAACCTTTGATCGCGAACCGTCTTTGGCATCTGGCATCCTTCGCGCCGAATACAAAATTTAACAATGATGGAGAATTTAGAAGTTCGCGTAGCGTAGCATCATCATTATTATATTATTTTCACGACTATCTCGGCATGTAAATTCTGTTCAACGTTTGGCGTGATATTCAAGGCATTTTCAGCATTCAAGGTATGTGTCCGTAGATAATGAATTGGAGCTGGTTTCTGTTGCAAGCGCTGAAATTGTGAGTGCTATTGTGTTGACAGTGACTAGAGTAGATCTTGTCTACACACACTGCACTGTGCTGTCCTGTTGTGTGGACGTATGGCCATGGCATGACTCATTGAGTCATTTTGTGGTGTTTTGATTTGCAAAAAAACATTCTTCTGCTTTTTTC